GGGGGGTKGGGGTAGGGAGTCGAGGCGGCGGGGTAGGAGGGCGGGGGATTGGTGGGGAATTGGGTTGCGGTCTGCTCGGTGTAGTGTGGGAGGAGATCGCGGTGGTTTGGTTTGGGTAGATTTCAATAGTGCCGAAGTAATAACAAGAATAGCGAGCCCAATAGCAGATTCTGCAGCAACTACAGTAATACGAATAAAGCAAATAATTGACCCATCATGTCATCTAGATAAACAGAAAAGACTAAAAAGTTCGGACGTGTGAGCGGTAAGTCGGTGGGGAGGTGGTAGAGTTTAGGTGGGGAATAGGGATGTGGGGGAGTTGGGGTAAGGAGTAAAGGCGGCGGTTGATGTGCGGTGGTTGGGTGGGGGGTGTGGTAGCGGGCTATGTGGTGTAGAGCGGGTGCGGGACCAGGTTGGGAGTCGGCGTGATTGATTGGACGGTGTTGATGCGCTGATGCAGCCGCTCGGGCTGGTCGAGTGGGGCGACGAGGCGGGGCTGGACCGGGGGGGGGGGGGGGGGGGCTGTGGAGTGGGGGGGGGGGGGGGGTGCGGTGTAGGTCGGGTGGGGGGGGGGCGGTCGGGGTAGGGAGTCGGGGTTGTGCAATGCAGGTCAGGGGGGTCGGGGTAATGGGACGAAGTGAATCGAGATTGGAAGACGCTTCTATACACTTGAGATTTCACCCCTTGGATAATCCTTGGCTTGTCTGCTCGTTGTCTCCGGAATTCGCCAGTATAGGATGACACGAGTTAGGCGATCTCACCTTTGCTACTTGGAGGGAATACTGTTCACACCTTGTGTGTCACAATGTTGACGCGCTTGGTTGTTTGCTTGTCGCCACCTTTCTCGCATCATGTCTGGAAAACGATGATGTCTCTTTCTTCGCCTCTCTGTTCCCTTCTGGTGGTGAAATTGCTCGAACCCTTTTCCCTTTCTTGTGCCTCTCACTTCTCTCTTCCTGAGTTTAGCAGTCTTTTGTGCCTCTCACTTCTCTCTTCCTGAGTTTAGCAGTCTTTCTCTCCTTCTCCTCCTCATGAATACGTCGCTCCTGTCGTTTCCTAATCTTAGTAGCATCCTCTTTCTCCTTCCCCTTCCTTCTTCCAAGTACGACACTTTTCCTCTCTCCTCTCACTTATGTTCTTTCTATCTTTGTTGGGATCTGGGGGGCCGCGCCCTGAGGCGTGGTGTCATGTGAAAACCGGTTTCTTAACTCTTGCTGTCTCTCCTAACAGTTACGGCTTTCAGTGACTCTCTTCTTTTTCTCATTCACACTTTCCCTTTTCCTCCCTCCAATACAGCGCTCTTTCTTCCTCGTTTTTCCCTCCCTGGTGCTTGATTGCATTTTGTCGTGCTTGAACGTATTTTGTCGCCTTTGCTCGCTCCTTCCTGAATTGCACGGTCGTTCCCTTCTCCCTTCTTCACATTCTTTGCCTCATGACTCTTTGCCCTTTCCCATTCTTAGGTAAAACTTCCCTCTTCTTTTCTTCTCTTGTTTCTGTCCTCTATCTTCCTCCTTTCTTTTCCCGTATCTGTCCGATTTGTGACGAGCTTGAGTATGCCACACCCGTAGGCATGGCGAGACTCGCCGCTCTCACCTACCTTCCTCCTCCTCCTTTCTTTTTCCGTATCTGTCCGATTCGTGACGAGCTTGAGTATGCCACGCCCGTAGGCATGGCGAGACGCGCCGTCACGCTCTCACCCTCCTTGCTCACTCCCGCGCGATTTCCACATGGGGGAAAAGCTCGTGCGTCCGTGCCCGTGGCAAAATTCGGACTTGTGAAAATACCAGCAACACGTGCGAAAAAAGCGAGGTAGAGCCACAAACAATCATTTTTTTGTCTCTCTTCCTGTTTTTTTAATATGTAGAAACCAGTGTTCACAGGGGCCACACACACACAGACACACACACACACACACACATGAACACTGGCCACACACACACAGACACACACACACACACACACACACCACACACACACACACTCTCACACAATCATTTTTATGTGTCTTTCTTCCTGTTATTTTTTTTTTTTCTTTTTTTTTTTTTTTTTTTTTTTTTTTTTTTTTTTTAATGTACTTTCTGTGTGTCCGTGTGAGCACCTCTAAGATGTGCTAAACAGGGGCCTGCTCTGTTCGTGATGACTGTAATGCATATGGACTATGGGCAGTGATAGATGCCCGTCGCAGTGGGTTCCTGGATCATCAAGTGGTGGGAACCAACAGTCTGCGGGATTTTACTTGTGGTGTGAGTAGGTGATGAGCTGCTTTTGGTCCGTACTGGATGTGTGGACTGTCGTGCCTGCGCTTCTCCGCCGGCTTGCCACTCGTCCCCTAGAGTGGCTGTCTGGTCGGTGTTGCCTTGGCTTCACTGCGCTGTTGCCTTGCTGCCCATCCGTGTGCCCATTCGTTCCATGCAACATGCTTGCCTGTTGTACAGTTTGGCTGCATTGTTAGCGCTGCGCTGTGGCCCACTTGCACATACTCTTGCCTTGCTTTGTCTTTCCTTCTGGCGTACCTGTGTGTTGTCAGCCCTGCCTTGTGCCTTGCTGTGCCATTGCTTACATCCACTTTGAACGTGAGTCAAAGGGTTCATGACCCAAAGCATCAATATGGGGATTCTGCAGATTGTAGAGGGTTCAGCCTCCTGGTGAGCTGGTGCAAGTCCGAGGAAACAATCTATCATCATACATTTTGTTTTTCTCCCTCATGTTGTTTTTACCGTTGCTGGAACTTGTACCTTTTGTCCTTGGTTCTTTTTGTCTGTGTTGGGTTTGCACATCTGTGGTTCTTCCCTGGGTATGAAATTATGAATCCATGAGCTACCGTGTGTGGAGTAGTTTACACCAGTGACCCTTGCTCGTATTATACCTTCTATGCACTAGAAAGCTGGGTCTGTGATTGCTTCCTCTACTGGGTTAGTTCCGTGCTAGGAAAAGGGTTTGTTTTGGTCTCCGTAACAGTGAGCTTTTCAACGCAACATGCTGC